CAGTGGTGATGATTACGATACTGATTATAGTAATGATACTGATTATTGTGATTATGATGGGGAGAATCATATTCATGGTGATAATGGTCATTATGATGGTGGTAATAATTTTCAAGATGATTATGATGTGATAATGACATTGTTCATAGTGATGTGGATGTGATGTTGATAATTGTATTGATCAAGGTGATAAATATGATGGTGACTTTGGTGATGACGGTAATGCAATTTATAATGATGATAGTGGTAATTAAGGTGATAACAATATTGATGATGGTAATGTGATTTTGCTGATGTCATATTTTAATGGTGTGACGTTGGTCTGCTCTGTGATGAAGGACAGCATGAAGCAAGGAGTCAAGAAAGAGCAGATACTGCAGGAGTTGAAGATGCGAGAACAAGAACTTGAGTTCACGCTCACCAAACAGAGAGAGGTACACACTCATCAACACGTTTGATTATTAAACCAGCAGGAGGGTCTGTCTCACCCCACCTGTGTGTGTGTGTGTAGTTGGAGAGCAGGATCAACACTCTGAGCAGTGATCAAACTGACACTCGAGGGAAGAACCGCCGACTGCAGAACATCAACCAGCAGCTGCAGGATCAACTGGAGCAGAGCCGAGAGGAGCTTCAGCACGCTCTGAGCCAACTACAACAACTACAGAACACCATCAAACAACAGCAGAGGGGCAAAGAGAGGTTGGAAGAACATATGCCTTTCTCCACTGTAAAGGACCTTTTGTGGAATGGAAAGATTCTATGGATGTTAAAGGTTCTTCATGGAACCAAAATAACTTTTAGTTTTGGGATGTAACGAACAAATAAACATAAGCTGCTATTTCCTGATGATATGCTGTGCAGGTTTCATGTCTGACTGTTTCTCACTACAGAGAAGTCCTGAAAGTGTCCCGAAACATGCAGAAGGAACGGGAAAGCCTCATGAGACAGCTGGATCTTCTCAGGTAGGGCGACCCAACTGAAACGATCACACCTTTATGATGTAGTATGATGAGTGTTCAAGAGTAGGCATGTGTGTATTACTTTTATCTGAAAGATAAGGCTGTAAGAATCGACCAATCAAAATGGATGAAGGTTTAAGATGTTTGATCGATCATTAGTCCATCTCATTGACAACTAGATTTGTTATCTATATATTCCAAGGCTGTAAAAGTCCTGTGAGGAGGAGCTTTAGCTTAAAAATTTAACTGGAATTCTCTCTGCTTCTCTTTTGTAGAGACATGAACAAGCGTCTTCGGGATGATAAAGATGCCCAACAGACACAGAAGATGGTTAGTCAAAAATACCCCTTCATGTCTCCCACTCCTTACCCACCGTGCCGCTGTGTTCACGCCTTCTCGCCGTGGGTGCGCTCTGTTTACCCATATTAACCCTGCCTTTGGCCCATATAACATTACCCACAATGCATACAGCTAAATGTGAACGGCTACATTCATCTGGATGTATTTCTGTGAGTTTCCATGAGCCCATGTTTCTTCGGGAATTTGAAAGTTTGTGGATGATGCCAGCCACACGCTCTTCTGGAATATTCACATTTTCCAGGTGCAGCTCTGGTTAGTTTATTCTCGGGAGAGCTTGTTCCATTCGTCAGCCTCTAAGAGGAACAACTAATGACTTGAAGGAAACTTTGAACTCATCGAAGACCTTGTGTGGAACATTTGAAACCGTGAATATGGAATTCAGCACTGTTCTCCAATCAAACGGGTCACATTTGGAGAAAGATTGTTCCTTGTTTGGTCTGTTACGGAAACAAGTGTGATTCCAAATTAATGGTTATTTCTGTTTCAGAAGAGCCTTAATCACTTAATGCCCCTCATTTTTTACAAAGAAAGTCAGTCAAAAAATAAGAAAAATACCATAACACACATATACTGTATATATATATATATATATATATATATATAAGCATTGCAAATACTTAAACAAGCGCATCACATGAACCCAGTTTTGCATCAATTACTGCTCTGGGAGACCGATATGCATAGTTTCTACAAGATAAACTATATACTAGACTTTTCTCAATTTTCCTTCAAAACCGTCTCCATTAAAGCTGAAGCTAAAATGTCTTTCATATCTGGTCAACTGTTCCTCAGACAGCTCAAGTGAATAATACTTTGCAGAGGAAGGAATCCATACTGGGGAAATATTTTCCACCAAGGAAATCGGCAAAGAGGTGGGTATCTAACTAAACCTTATGCATGCTATATTAATGCACATAACACTCTATAAAGAGACATATATAGATATACATATATAAGATGTGCATTTTTAAACATGGTTATAGCTCTTGCCAGAATTGCAGTTGCAACTGTACACTTTAATTGCAATTCTGAGCCACAACCTTTGGTGAATACTGATACTTTCCGGATCATTTGTCTTTGCCAATGCTGCAAAATGTAATTTAGCATCTTAAAACATTTATGTTCCCAATTTTTCATTCCTGCTGATGAAAACAGATCACACACTTTTTTTTGCAGTGCTATTTCAGTATCATTGATATAACTATTATACACTCTAAAAAAATGCTGGCTTAAATATAACACAGTGCTGGGTTACAAAGGGACAGACCCAGCTATTGGGTTGTTTTGATTCAGCGGTTGGGTTCAAAACAACCCAATAGCTGGGTTTGTCCCTTTTTAACCCAGCATTTTTAAGAGTAGATTTTTTAAAAATGTATTTCCATTTGTATATTTTAATTTCCTTTTAATTACATTTTTTTAAATTTTCTTTTTAACTTTAAAGTTTTAGTAATGTTGTTGTGTTTTTGTCATATTTTTTATTATTATTATTTCAAAGTGTGTCTATATATTTCTTATTAATTTGTATTTGTTTTAGTTTTAGTTATTTTAGTACTTTAAGTAAAACTGAAAGAAAATTAGATGATGCTTTGGCAACGAACTGAAATAAAATAAGTTAGATTTTTTATATTTTCTTTTATTTGAGTACAGAAGCAGATTTTAGCAGGATTTATTTATTTTTGAGCAATGATAGAGGGCAATTAAAAGGTTTTGACTCATTTTATAATTCCTATGCATTTTTTTGTTGTATTAAAATAATTGTTATCCACTTTAAAGGCAGCTGATGGAAAACCCAAATGACGAGTCTGAGGATTCAGACACCTCTAACAGATTCAAGTCCGAAAAGACTCTCTATAGCTGAAGAGCGAGAAGCCGAATCTACCTGCCAGTCTGAGAAAACCACGCTACTTATGTTTTTACCGTAAAACACTACTTCCCAACTTCTTATTAATCTCTGTATGGCTGCGTCTTGGATGCAAATGAACCTCAGATATTTGCATGACAGTAGATGACTCACTTTCTGTCACTTCCAAACACTACAAAAGATGTTCATAAATTCTTGATCTTAACAGTCAATCAAATATTTATCTGCATGATGTGGCTCTCCAGGAAATCCTTTCTCTCTTCTTCCTCCTCCAGAGCGCACTGTGTGGCCCGCAGGTGTGTTTAAGGTGGTGTTTTTGGGGAACTGGAAAGAGCTCATTCATCCATCACTACTGCAGCGGTCACTTCCCCAATAACTTGGCCTGGACTGTGGGTGAGACGCTTGATTTATGCCCAGTTATGCTCACGCTTAGCTTCATTCCTTTTGTGTGCTGACAAGTCATGTGATGTTTGATTGACAGGACTGGATTTTCAGGTCAGGAGCCTAATGCTTGATTCCACACCAGTCGCTCTACAGCTGTGGGACACACCGCAGGGCAAGAGAGGTCAGATGTCCCAAAAAATGGTTTATAGAACCAAGAGACTGATTTAGATAATCTACAATGCCAGACGAGTTCATTTATTTAAAACCTCACAGGTGAAGATATAAACTGCCTGGACTGGTTACATAGTACGGCAGCATTTGTATGCAAAAGGTGTGCTTACGCTGCTTTGCATGTAAATAAGTGTGTGACTTTGATTGAAGGTTTACTGTAAAAATGAGTGTATTTAGCATGTGCCTTAATCTGTTTATGTTGACTGTGTGTGACCCTGTGATTGGTTTATTGGATAAGATTGAGTGTGTGTGTGTGTGTGTGACTGGCAGGAAAAGATGGCTGAAGGGGCGTGTCTGATGTTGCTAGGCAATAAGACAGACCTGGCGACGCAGGCAGGAGGGAGGTGACTAGAGCACTTCGCCGCAGACTGCTCATCATTTCTGATAACTATCATTATTTGCATGTGTCAGTGTTTGTTGTTGTACCAGGCACAGCAGTTCTATGAATGCAGTGCTAAGCGTGGACACCAGGTGGAGGAGGCTATGACCCACCTGACCAGGTGTGAAACTGGATTAATGATACTTCATATTTGGCGATCACAAGTAAAATGTCCTTTTCCAAAACAGTATATAATATAATTACTATTTATTTATTGCTGATGCAATTCAGTTCATTTTATTTGACTTTACCTAATTTAACTTTATTTTATGTATTTATATTTAATTTAATTTTAATTAATTATTTATAAAAAATAATAATAATTCAGGCCACTTGCCTCTCAGCAGGACAAGCAGTGCGACTCTGCGCTCCGTCTGGACGCCTCTCAGCCAGCAGAGGGCGCTGCTGCAGCGAGGACGTAACTCATGAATATTAATTACGCCATTTGACGCTCGACGAATTAAAACAACTTATGAATATTCAAAGGCCAAAGATATTCGGAGTGCATAGTCTGCCTCTGCACGTCGTACAGCTAAATTAATAATCATTTTCAGCAAGGTATAAAACTGTAAAAGCTTATAAAACACACATCGGGAAACAGTGATAAGATCATTTTAACACACTACAATCTTGTTTATACACAAATACATTTATTATCAGCCTAATGTTAAAAAAATATGGCCTGCATAAGTATTTTTAGAATTATTATTAGTGGACTTGGTCAAGAAATGTAATTTTTGGAAACACCTAATGTAATGTTATGCTTACAGTAACTGTATTTAAACACTGTGTCAGTTGTTTGTTTTTGGGGCTGGAGCTACAGCGCCACCTGTCGGCAAAATACAAATATTATACCAATACAAAAGCCCCCTGCCGCGCGCGCACCAGAGAGCCCACAGCAGACGCGGACAACAGAAGCAACAGAGGACTCTCAAACATTACTAAACAAACACGAGCTACAGCTGGACATTCATTCAATCTCGTCCTTCAGGTGGGTGCGTTATTATAAACACGAACTTCTGTTATTCTTTTGAAATCGTTTGCAGGTCATAAATGGGCAGCGTCTGTATTATGCTGTGATTTTATGAGTTTATGTATGAAAGCAAATTACACTTTTGTCTTTAACAGCCATTTTTAACTAAAGTTGCCTACTGAGTTTTTTTGAAGACTTTCATATTTGTTTGAACTTAATACACTAATCTAATGATGCACTTTATAATTAGAGTCTTGTAGTTTGATACATGCAGGGAACGGATCTGTAATAAGCAGTGTTGGGGAAAGTTACTTTTAAAAGTAATGCATTACAATATTACGTTACTCCATGAAAAAGTAACTAATCACGTTACTTTTTATGGAAAGTAATGCGTTACGTTACTTCTGCGTTACTTTTAAAATCTGGACAGGGCTTGGTTGCTTGTTTTTAAATTAAAAAAGTTATATTTTTGGCAAATATAAAAGCCTTCTCACACCAGAAGTGAAATGAATGCGCCTCAGGCTGAAGGGAAAGTACAGTAGAATACAGAAGAAGACATTTCAACACTTCAGCAATAAACAAAGACACAAATGTTCGTCTAGAGTAATTTGTGTTTATTAATACGCTTGAACTGGATCAGCGGAAGCTAATAGAAAGGGATTAAATACATAAAGCATATTTGTGTTGTTTAACATTTAATTATTGCAGGTTTGCGTCATATTCTGAGTTGCATTATTTTATTCATTTTGAGGAATACTGAATCTGTGTTTTTGTGTGAGTGAGATAATGCATATTCATATTTATTTTAGAGCTACAGTAACATCTGATTTCTCTCAACATGGCGACAGCAGAGCTGTCAGTCAATAAATTGGGAAAAAAGTAACTTGCGTTACTTATTTGAAAAAGTAACTCGGATATTCTCTTGTAAATGAAAAAGTAATGCGTTACTTTACTAGTTACTTGAAAAAAGTAATCTGATTACGTAACTCTCGTTACTTGTAATGCGTTACACTGTCCAGCACTGCCTCAGATTCTTCAGATGGTGAGGTGTGACAGATTGAAAATGAACCAGGAGACACGAACACAATTCAGCCCGTCATATATACAGTATAAGACACTAATATTGTAAAAATCTCAATAATCTATTCATATGGTGAGTGGACTCTCCATTAAGACAAATTTGGCTGCTCAAAAGAAATTTATAAGCAAAAATAAAAAGGTTTATTTGCTTACACCTACATATAGGTTCAAGCAAAAAACCATTTTAAGAAAATCAAGTAATTAAAAACTGTTCTATATAATTTAATTAAAGAATATTGTTTGCTATTTATTTGCTGTCAGCCGCATGTCCCAAAACAGGCAGGTGTAAAAACACAGCCCTTGGTGTCAGTTGAGTCCCAGTGCAGAGGTGTTTGTGTGAGTCAGGCTGCTGGAGTTATATCTGCTCACGGAGGCCGCTGGGTGAGGTTACAGTAGTAAACGTTTCTCCATGTCTCTGTGAGTCACTCGTCCTGACGCTGTAGGACACAGAGAGAGGAAACACCCCACCCCTGAAATTAACTGGGAGAAAGAATTCACAAACTGTCAGTATATTGCAACTCGTTTGATTATTTCACCCCAACATAAAATAAAACAATATTTGTCATATAGAAAAATAATTGTAATATTTATACTGTTCAAAAGTTTAGGTCAGTAAGAGAAATGATTGCTTTTTTCAATAAGGATACAGTAAATCAATCAAAAGTAAAAGTTCACATAAATGCTGTTATTTTGAACTTTCTATTCATCAAAGAAAAAATGTTGCATGGTTTCCACAAAAATATGAAGCAGCAGCACAACTGTTTTAATAACAAATGTTTCTTCAATGTAAAAAAAAACAACAACAGTAAGTCATGGCAACTTGTGTTTTTACATTATTAACTCGTCAAAATATTTGAGAGATTTCACTTTTTTATGTTGTATGAAATTCAACTTGATTTTTAAAGTCAGTTTAATGTAATTTAAGTTTAAATGACTTGTACAACAATTATACTTTTTTTTTTTAAAGAACTTAAGTTTTTAAGTTGAAATAGGTGGAAATTTATTAGAATGATTTCTGAAGGATCATCTGACATTGAAGACTTAAAATATATTAAAATAAAATATAATAATAATTTATATTAAATGTATAAATGTGTAAATTTATAAATTATATATATATAATTTATATTAAAATATAAAACAGTTTATATATATATAAATATATAAATTATAGATGTACCGATTGCAATTTTCTTGGCCGATTCCGATTTGTTGTTGTATCTGCCGATACGGATTTTTCACAATTCCGATTTTCTTTCGAAGAATTATAATTGACAGCATATATAGATGACTGTTTGAATGAGTGAGTCATTCATTCAACCGATTCGTTCAAACGACTGATTCATTCAGAAACGAGTTAAGCTGCTGTCTTTATGAATCTGTTACTGAGTCATTGACTCACTCGATTCGTTCAAAACCGTGGATTCATTCATTAACAAAACGCCGCTGTGTTGCTCAGAGACACAACAGTTCTGCTGTGGCTTTGATTGGAACTATTTTCGTTTGTGAAATTGAGCAAAAACAGTCAATATTGTGTCTAAAATGTAAGTCACATAATTTTAACTTCTTGTTTATTGAACTACTATTATATAAAATCAGTGTCACATTGCATATATATATATATATATATATATATATATATAAATATATCATTTTGAGGAATACTGAATCTGTGTTTTTGTGTGAGTGAGATAATGCATATTCATATTTATTTTAGAGCTACAGTAACATCTGATTTCTCTCAACATGGCGACAGCAGAGCTGTCAGTCAATAAATTGGGAAAAAAGTAACTTGCGTTACTTATTTGAAAAAGTAACTCGGATATTCTCTTGTAAATGAAAAAGTAATGCGTTACTTTACTAGTTACTTGAAAAAAGTAATCTGATTACGTAACTCTCGTTACTTGTAATGCGTTACACTGTCCAGCACTGCCTCAGATTCTTCAGATGGTGAGGTGTGACAGATTGAAAATGAACCAGGAGACATGAACACAATTCAGCCCGTCGTATATACAGTATAAGACACTAATATTGTAAAAATCTCAATAATCTATTCATATGGTGAGTGGACTCTCCATTAAGACAAATTTGGCTGCTCAAAAGAAATTTATAAGCAAAAATAAAAAGGTTTATTTGCTTACACCTACATATAGGTTCAAGCAAAAAACCATTTTAAGAAAATCAAGTAATTAAAAACTGTTCTATATAATTTAATTAAAGAATATTGTTTGGTATTTATTTGCTGTCAGCCGCATGTCCCAAAACAGGCAGGTGTAAAAACACAGCCCTTGGTGTCAGTTGAGTCCCAGTGCAGAGGTGTTTGTGTGAGTCAGGCTGCTGGAGTTATATCTGCTCACGGAGGCCGCTGGGTGAGGTTACAGTAGTAAACGTTTCTCCATGTCTCTGTGAGTCACTCGTCCTGACGCTGTAGGACACAGAGAGAGGAAACACCCCACCCCTGAAATTAACTGGGAGAAAGAATTCACAAACTGTCAGTATATTGCAACTCGTTTGATTATTTCACCCCAACATAAAATAAAACAATATTTGTCATATAGAAAAATAATTGTAATATTTATACTGTTCAAAAGTTTAGGTCAGTAAGAGAAATGATTGCTTTTTTCAATAAGGATACAGTAAATCAATCAAAAGTAAAAGTTCACATAAATGCTGTTATTTTGAACTTTCTATTCATCAAAGAAAAAATGTTGCATGGTTTCCACAAAAATATGAAGCAGCAGCACAACTGTTTTAATAACAAATGTTTCTTCAATGTAAAAAAAAACAACAACAGTAAGTCATGGCAACTTGTGTTTTTACATTATTAACTCGTCAAAATATTTGAGAGATTTCACTTTTTTATGTTGTATGAAATTCAACTTGATTTTTAAAGTCAGTTTAATGTAATTTAAGTTTAAATGACTTGTACAACAATTATACTTTTTTTTTTTAAAGAACTTAAGTTTTTAAGTTGAAATAGGTGGAAATTTATTAGAATGATTTCTGAAGGATCATCTGACATTGAAGACTTAAAATATATTAAAATAAAATATAATAATAATTTATATTAAATGTATAAATGTGTAAATTTATAAATTATATATATATAATTTATATTAAAATATAAAACAGTTTATATATATATAAATATATAAATTATAGATGTACCGATTGCAATTTTCTTGGCCGATTCCGATTTGTTGTTGTATCTGCCGATACGGATTTTTCACAATTCCGATTTTCTTTCGAAGAATTATAATTGACAGCATATATAGATGACTGTTTGAATGAGTGAGTCATTCATTCAACCGATTCGTTCAAACGACTGATTCATTCAGAAACGAGTTAAGCTGCTGTCTTTATGAATCTGTTACTGAGTCATTGACTCACTCGATTCGTTCAAAACCGTGGATTCATTCATTAACAAAACGCCGCTGTGTTGCTCAGAGACACAACAGTTCTGCTGTGGCTTTGATTGGAACTATTTTCGTTTGTGAAATTGAGCAAAAACAGTCAATATTGTGTCTAAAATGTAAGTCACATAATTTTAACTTCTTGTTTATTGAACTACTATTATTTAAAATCAGTGTCACATTGCATATATATATATATATAAATATATAAATTTGACTACATTACCACATTTTTCTTTGGAGTTGTTTTTAATTAGAATCAAGGATGAAACTCATTATTTTCACTCAGGAACTGAGTTTTCGACGTGTCGTGTGAATTTTTTGCTCTCTCTTTTCTTCAAAATAAGCTCTTAATCAGCTAACAACTTTATAAATCAGAAGCTATGTTATGTTTTTTATTTTATTTTGAATTTAAATGACATAACATCATGTGAAAACCACCTTCGGTTTACTTGGACGACGCTGAGAAGACCGTCTCTGTGCGGCAGGGTGGTTCAACATTAGTAGGAGTGCAGATTGTTGGAAAGCAAAATATAATAATATGATTTTGGGATGAAATAAGACCTGCACGTGTTCTTCACCCTGTAGCCATAATTCACTGAACTCTGCCTCACAAATGTCACATCATTTTAAATTCTGTGTAAAGGAAGGGTTAGTTCTGTCCAGTCGGCCTGTAGTAGATAACGACCAGCCTCTCGGGGGATGTTAAGCTGGATTCATGGTTTTTCTCAGACCTGTCAAGTGGATGCCATCTTAAAAGAGTTTGTCAAATCTATTACTGTTTCAGGATGGCAGATGCGGAGGAAAAAACCAATACCTGCGGGACAATATGCCTCAAATACCTTCTGTTCATCTTCAATCTTTTCTTTTGGGTGAGTTTGTACTTTGTTTTGATCTTGGTTAGTCCGAGGAGCTGCCATATCTGTTGAATAATAGCTAAAACCAGTCTAAAGTGGTTTACTGATCATTTAGCTGGTATAACTAGCCTATGTTAACAGTAAACCAGTTTAGGCTGCTTTATCCGGTCTTCCAAGAAGGCCAAACTAGTGTTTATCTAGTCACAACCAGAGCAGCTGACAGATACCTAAATCCACTTAAAACCACAGAAAACCTACTTAATAGCAATGCTGTTTTTATGATTTATATTTATTTATATGTATATATCATTTATATACTATTATAGTATTTATTCATATTTAAATGAGCTTTTATATTTATATTTTCAATTTAATTTTGTTATGTGCTTTTGTGATTTCTATTAGTTTTTGTTAAATAATTCTCTTTAGATTTAATTTATTTTTATTTCCTTTTTAGTTTTAGGGAATTTTCTACTTCAAGTCATTTTATAAATTAAATAAAAAATTTTTTTAAAGTTTTTTAATCTAATATTTTTATTTGTTATATTATTTCTATTTTGATTCTATTATTTTGAGTAGTTTTAGTTTTTGTTAATCGGAGCAACACTTAAAACCAGCAAACCACTATAGGTTTAAGCTGTTTTGTTTTTTGTGCAGATGTATTTGAAAAGAAAAATCCACTGTTTGCCTTTCTATAGATGCCCCAATTTGGCACAAAGCACCAAATCTAACAACATCAAAAAGTACGGTAACTTGTGCTTCAGAAAGAGCCAGTTATATAATTGTACCTTGTCCTCCTAGCTGGCAGGTGGCGCTGTGATGGCAGTGGGAGTATGGACTCTGGTGGATAAAAGTGACTACATCAGCCTTCTGTCCTCCAACACCTACTCGGCCGCGGCCTTCATCCTGATTGGCGCGGGGGCCGTCGTCATGCTCACTGGGATACTTGGCTGCTGTGCCACCATCAGAGAACAAAGAGGTCTTCTTAGAGTGGTGAGAGAGCATCATGGGTAATTTTACATCTGACAGCAGACACATGTCCATAAGCCACAACTACGATTCAAAGGTGTCCTGTGTGGTTGTGAAAGTGAGTTTTTAAAGTATTGCTATGTAGTTGCTAGGGTGTTATGAGTGTTTTAAAGAGTCTGGTATGTGGTTGCTAGGGTGTAGCTGTGCAGTTGCTAAGGTATTCTGAGTGTTTTAAAGTGTTCATGTGCAGTTGCGATTCAGTTCTGGGTGTTTTAATGTGTTGTTATGTGGTTGCCAGGGTGTAGCTGTGCAGTTGCTACAGTATTCTGAGTGTTTTAATGTGTTTGTGTGCAGTTGCTAGGGTGTTCTGAGTGTTTAAAAAGTCGGGTATGTGGTTGCCAGGGAGTAGCTGTGCAGTTGCTACAGTATTCTGAGTGTTTCATTGTGTTTATGTACAGTTGCTAGGGTGTTCTGTGTTTTAAAGTGTTCGTGTGCAGTTGCTAGGGTGTTCTGAGTGTTTTTAAAGTACGGCTATGTGGTTGCTAGGGTGTTCTGAGTGTTTAAAAAGTCTGGTATGTGGTTGCCAGGGAGTAGCTGTGCAGTTGCTACAGTATTCTGAGTGTTTTATTGTATTCATGTACAGTTGCTAGGGTGTTCTGAGTGTTTTAAAGTGTTGCTTTGTGGTTGCGAGGGTGGAGCTGTGTGGTTGCTAAGGTGTTCTGAGTGTTTTAAAGCATTGCTATGTGGTTGCTAGGGTGTTGTGGGTGGTTGCAAGGGTGTAGCTGTGCAGTTGCTACAGTGTTCTGAGTGTTTTAGGCCCTGTTTACACTAGTGTGTTTTCGTTTTAAAACGAAAACGATTCTTGTCTACACTGGCATTTTCACTGCGTTTCAGAAACGATCTCCGTCCACACTGCACAACCGAAAACGCATGTCACATGACCATTCATGCAGGTACAACAATGAGCATAATATTATTGTTTACACTGTCGTCAAGGATATGCAGCGCGAATGTTGGCAGCCACGCCATCGTTTTCAAAAGTCTCCATTTTGGTCCGTTTACACTGAAACACAACCCCGGAGTTTTCAAACTAAAACGGGGTCTGCAGCGTTTTCGAAAGTCTCCATTTTCGATTGTCGAAAATGCTGGGGTAGTGTAAATGACAGGCATAACCGTAGCAAAAGTTATGCGTTTAAAAAAGAAAACTAGTGTAAACGTAGCATTAATGTGTTCATGTTCAGTTGCTAGGATGTTCTGAGTGTTTAATAGTGTTAATGTGTGGTTTCTAAGGTGTTCTGAGTGTTTTAAAGTGTTGCTATGTGGTTGCTAGGGTGTTATGTGTGTTTAAAAGTGTTGCTAGGGTGTTCTGAGTGTTTTAAAGTGTTGCTGTGTGGTTGCTTGGGTGTTCTGAGTGTTTTAAAGTGTTGCTGTGTGGTTGCTAGGGTGTTCTGAGTGTTTTAAAGTGTTGCTATGCGGTTATTGGGGTGTTCTGGGTGGTAGTAGCAAGGGTGTAGCTATGCAGTTGCTAAGGTGTTCTGAGTGTTTAAAAGTGTTGCTATGTGGTTGCTAGAGTGTTTAAAAGGGTTGCTATGTGGTTGCTATGGTGTTCTGAGTGTTTTAAAGTGTTGCTATGCGGTTATTGGGGTGTTCTGGGTGGTAGCAAGTGTGTTGTTGTGCAGTTGCTAAGGTGTTCCGAGTGTTTAAAAGTGTTACTATGTGGTTGCTAGGGTGTTCTGAGTGTTTTAAAGTGTTGCTATGTGGTTGCTAGGGTGTTCTGGGTGATAGTCAAAACATCCCAAACCCAGGAAAGAAAGTCTCTTCTCACTTATAACAGTGCTGGATGATTTTCATGTGAAGGTTTCATATTTATAATTTGTGTGTTCGGTTAACTCACCCTAAATAGTGTTGTTTGACTAAGGAAACACCACCAACACAAAAAGCTATTTTAACATTTTCTTCTTTAAAGGGGTCATATGATGCTATTTTAAAGATCATTATTTTGTGTATTTGGTGTAACAGTATTTGAAAAATAATGTTTTTTGAACATTAAACATGTCAACATATTCTGTTCATTATTGTAGGTCCTCTATGCCCCGGCTCTCTCAAACACGTCGTTTTCAACAAAGCCCCTCCTTTGACAAGCGCAGTCTGCTCTGATTGGCCAGCTGGCCCAGTGCATTGTGATTGGCCGAACGAATAACATAAGTGGACTTTGAACGATTAATTGCCACTTTGAACGATTACGTAATTGTGGCATCCATGATTGTAATCGCGATTAGAAATTCGATTAATTGTGCAGCCCTAACATGTATTACTGAAACTTTTTTACTTTTTGTCTCTACAGTTCTTTGTCCTGTTGTTATTAATCTTCCTACTGGAGATCACAGCTGGAATTCTGGCTTACGTCTATTATCAGGAGGTAAACTCACATTCAAGATGAGGAATAAATGCTGCATTTCTGTTCTGTTCAGTTCGGATGAATACTCTCTTATCCTGTCAAATTTAATTTTTCTGTACCCTTTTTTTATTTTTCAACATCTTTATGTATGCATGCAAATAACAGCTTGATAAACATGGTTGCAACATTGCCATGAATATCATAGGAATGTCATGTGACATCACATTAGGTCTTAATTTAACCGTAAGACTCCTCGGATTCGCATTAAACCCACATACACATGTTGAGTGTTGTATGTTTGCATGCTCTCCATCCACTTTCCTGCTTTTCTATCTTTATAAATCCCTTTGTCTTCTTCCTCCTTTTCCTCCTTTTCTTCCAGTGTTTTCCTCTCTGCTACCAGGTAAACAAATACATAGACAAAAAATCAGCTAAAGTTGCACATATGTGGCTTGAGTTTGTTTGATTTTCACCTCTAACGATAAAAAACACTGTCATTATTTACTCATTCTCATGTCATTCCAAACCAGTATGCTGTTATTTTTTCCACGGCACACTGAAGGTTACATGAACATTCTTCCGTGTTCTAAGGGGAAAAAATAACATCATGTTTGGAATGACATGACGGCGAGTAATTAATGACGGCATTTTCATTTTGAATGGTTCCTTTAATATATGAGGTTTTGCATTGTATCTGTGAATGAATACAGACGTTCACAGCACTTATTATACAGTGTGATTATACAGAATGATTTATAGATATAGATCTGTAGCCTGATGAATTTATCTGTGATTGCAGCTGAACGCTGAGCTCAGAGCCGATCTGAAAGAGAGGATGGTGCAAAACTACCAGCAGCCTGGACAAGAGCAGATCACTAGAGCCATTGACAACCTCCAGCAAGATGTAAGACGTCCATCCATCGTGCTGGGTAGTAACTAGATCACATGTAATTGGATTCCAAAATCAGATTCCAAAAATTAAGTACTTGTAATTAGATTACATTACATTTTAAAATACTCGCAATCAGACACAGTTACTCTATTTATTGATTACATGATTAGATATTATTCACACAAGTCTTTGGAAGGCTTTTTGTCTTTAAAACCCATTAAAATGTGCAAATTCACGTTATTATTTACATGTAATGCAGGGATTCCCAGACTTTTTTTTGTCAGCCAAACCTCTTTCAATTAATATATTTACTTGAAGTTGCACATTTGCATGTACACGGTTTTCTGGTTAATGGTCACATGACATGCAGGTAAACATATAAAATATTTCATCTTTTTTGGTAAATTTTTTTATTGTCATTTTAAAATGATTTACTTTAATTTTACATTTTTATGTTTTAATTCATTATTAGCATTTCATTAAACTCACAAACCGTGCCGCAGTTCCTTCACGAACCCCAGATTAAGAAACCTCGACATAATGTTTAATGCACTTCATGTTGTTAATCACAGCGAATGGAATATATTTTCATTCTCTTTGTATTTTTATATCAGTATGGTACGATATTATCCTATTCAAATCAATGTGATAAACTAGTTGGGTCACTAGTCTGATTATATTGCCTAAAATGTGTAAGCTAATGGATTACATTTCTAACTACAATTTGTGTCATGCAATTTGGATTCAGTAATGGGCTACAATTTCCAAGTAATTTATCCAGCAGTGTCTGTCTGTCTACCTTTCTATCATTCTGTCTAGCCTAAATACCCTAACAAGTGCCTAGCAACCACCCAGAACACCATAGCAACTGTTTAGCATGGGCATAACAACACAGAACACCCACTTAGCAACTACTTGACAGCTGTCTAGAACACCTTAGAAACATTTAACACTTTCAAGCTACTTCTAACATTTAAGACAAGACTTTATCAAGCCCACAATCTAGTTTCAAACTATAATCATGCATGCATGTTTGCATTTTTCAAAAGCTTTGAAGTTTGTCTATATCATAACAAAGAAGGCTTTTGAACACAATTTTCCTAGTCTGTGAGCGTGTGAGTTTATGCAAGGCGGAATTTCCCCTTTTTTTTTTTTTTTTTTAAATAGCCTTTGTGCACAGCCAGCCTTGTACTCTTTCAAAAAACTGTCGTCCATAAAATGCGTTGCACAAATTCGAACATCTGGGTTGTGCTGTTCTGTTGTAAATAAATCTTAACCAATGATTCCTAATTGCATCTACTTTCGGAAGGCCAAATAAAGTGTCTCCCTGACATGCTGCATCAACACGACTGCTGTTCCTGAAACCATGCCTTCTTTCTTTGCGTGAACATTTGGGCGGCATTATGCTAATATTTCCACATAGTGATGTAGATATGTGGGGGCGTGTTAGAACGAGACGTTTTAGGTAGGCGTGGTTAACTCTTACTTTTATAAAGAATATCTCTTTGGATTTGAGACTTTAGTCTTTGCAACTTTACAGATCTTCTTTATGCACAATCAGCTTGTAACACTCCAAAGAGAAAGGAAAACTTGAAATTGCATCATATGACCCCTTTAAATTATATTTAAAAAAGTAAAAATATGAATGGTATTATAATGTTACACTAAAACTAAAATTAAAATAATGGGAAAAACCCTTAAGATAACATGTAGAAAGAAAAAAACGCATCTTAAGGACGCAGAATAACATAAGTGGACTTTGAACGATTAATTGCCACTTTGAACGATTACGTAATTGTGGCATCCATGATTGTAATCGCGATTAGAAATTCGATTAATTGTGCAGCCCTAACATGTATTACTGAAACTTTTTTACTTTTTGTCTCTACAGTTCTTTGTCCTGTTGTTATTAATCTTCCTACTGGAGATCACAGCTGGAATTCTGGCTTACGTCTATTATCAGGAGGTAAACTCACATTCAAGATGAGGAATAAATGCTGCATTTCTGTTCTGTTCAGTTCGGATGAATACTCTCTTATCCTGTCAAATTTAATTTTTCTGTACCCTTTTTTTATTTTTCAACATCTTTATGTATGCATGCAAATAACAGCTTGATAAACATGGTTGCAACATTGCCATGAATATCATAGGAATGTCATGTGACATCACATTAGGTCTTAATTTAACCGTAAGACTCCTCGGATTCGCATTAAACCCACATACACATGTTGAGTGTTGTATGTTTGCATGCTCTCCATCCACTTTCCTGCTTTTCTATCTTTATAAATCCCTTTGTCTTCTTCCTCCTTTTCCTCCTTTTCTTCCAGTGTTTTCCTCTCTGCTACCAGGTAAACAAATACATAGACAAAAAATCAGCTAAAGTTGCACATATGTGGCTTGAGTTTGTTTGATTTTCACCTCTAACGATAAAAAACACTGTCATTATTTACTCATTCTCATGTCATTCCAAACCAGTATGCTGTTATTTTTTCCACGGCACACTGAAGGTTACATGAACATTCTTCCGTGTTCTAAGGGGAAAAAATAAAATCATGTTTGGAATGACATGACGGTGAGTAATTAATGACGGCATTTTCATTTTGAATGGTTCCTTTAATATATGAGGTTTTGCATTGTATCTGTGAATGAATACAGACGTTCACAGCACTTATTATACAGTGTGATTATACAGAATGATTTATAGATATAGATCTGTAGCCTGATGAATTTATCTGTGATTGCAGCTGAACGCTGAGCTCAGAGCCGATCTGAAAGAGAGGATGGTGCAAAACTACCAGCAGCCTGGACAAGAGCAGATCACTAGAGCCATTGACAACCTCCAGCAAGATGTAAGACGTCCATCCATCGTGCTGGGTAGTAACTAGATCACATGTAATTGGATTCCAAAATCAGATTCCAAAAATTAAGTACTTGTAATTAGATTACATTACATTTTAAAATACTCGCAATCAGACACAGTTACTCTATTTATTGATTACATGATTAGATATTATTCACACAAGTCTTTGGAAGGCTTTTTGTCTTTAAAACCCATTAAAATGTGCAAATTCACGTTATTATTTACATGTAATGCAGGGATTCCCAGACTTTTTTTTGTCAGCCAAACCTCTTTCAATTAATATATTTACTTGAAGTTGCACATTTGCATGTACACGGTTTTCTGGTTAATGGTCACATGACATGCAGGTAAACATAAAATATTTCATCTTTTTTGGTAAATTTTTTTATTGTCATTTTAAAATGATTTACTTTAATTTTACATTTTTATGTTTTAATTCATTATTAGCATTTCATTAAACTCACAAACCGTGCCGCAGTTCCTTCACGAACCCCAGATTAAGAAACCTCGACATAATGTTTAATGCACTTCATGTTGTTAATCACAGCGAATGGAATATATTTTCATTCTCTTTGTATTTTTATATCAGTATGGTACGATATTATCCTATTCAAATCAATGTGATAAACTAGTTGGGTCACAAGTAGTCTGATTATATTGCCTAAAATGTGTAAGCTAATGGATTACATTTCTAACTACAATTTGTGTCATGCAATTTGGATTCAGTAATGGGCTACAATTTCCAAGTAATTTATCCAGCAGTGTCTGTCTGTCTACCTTTCTATCATTCTGTCTAGCCTAAATACCCTAACAAGTGCCTAGCAACCACCCAGAACACCATAGCAACTGTTTAGCATGGGCATAACAACACAGAACACCCACTTAGCAACTACTTGACAGCTGTCTAGAACACCTTAGAAACATTTAACACTTTCAAGCTACTTCTAACATTTAAGACAAGACTTTATCAAGCCCACAATCTAGTTTCAAACTATAATCATGCATGCATGTTTGCATTTTTCAAAAGCTTTGAAGTTTGTCTATATCATAACAAAGAAGGCTTTTGAACACAATTTTCCCAGTCTGTGAGCGTGTGAGTTTATGCGTCATGATATCAGACACCACTAGCCCATGGGAAAACGATCCCCCCGTCACAAGAATGAACTCTTTTCTCATTCCCGCGCTCCCATCTGTTCTACGGTGCAGCTGAAGTGTTGTGGCAGTAACAGCTCAGCAGACTGGAGGGAAGGGGCCTGGATTCAGATCTTTGCCGACAGACGCCTGGTGCCCGACAGCTGCTGTAAGACCCCCACATTGGGCTGTGGAGTCAGAGACCACCCATCCAACATCTACAAAGTGGAGGTACATTCAGATGACCGACCTCACAATTTGATTGCTCTTTTATAGCTTATGCATTTCTCAAATGGTTCATTTAATGTTTTAAGGCAAATAGCTCAGATGATTCGGCTTTGGAAGAATTTGATGAGAAACACTGAAGTTCACATTGAGACTTTTCATTGCATACTTTAACATTTTGAGGCATTGTTGAGATTTTTTTCTTTTAAAGACCTTTTTTTTTTCTTTCTCAGGGAGGTTGTATATCCAAACTAGAGGAGTTTATTCTTCAGCATCTGATCATTTTGGGCTCAGTGGGTCTTGGGATTGCGTTCATTCAGGTGAGCAGCTCTGATATGATTCCAGCGAATATTTTCACTCCTATTTGTATTTGCTGTCATATTGTAGATTTTAACCTTCGGTCTTCCCTGTCTGTTCCAGATTGTAGGGATGATTTTTACCTGCTGCTTGTATCAAAGTTTGAAAGAAGAAATATACTGAAGAAGATACTTATTCACACCAATACCAAATAAGCCTTCCTGCTGTCTGCATTACTGTCTGCTACTGTTTGGTTGTATGTTGTGTGTCATGAATACGTCTCAATAATGCAGGATGACAGGTCAATATGTCTTGACTGCAGGACAGTCCTTCTGGAAAGTGAACTTAGTTTGCTTTGTTTTAAGCAAAGATTTTTAAAAGCAGTGTGTTTGAATTTTGATGTCAAATGAAATCAGTGGAATTGTTTCATCTGATTTCTGTTAGTTTTGCTCTCACAGTGCCTTCAAATACATACAGAATACATACAGTCTGCCATTGATTATTAAACATTAGATAATTATTGGCACCCTTTCAGCATTAAAATGAGTTGTAATCTTTATTGACAGACATTAATTTTTACATGCTTTGTATGGAACATTTGTTCTATTAATAAAACATTAACATTAATTTATTTTCACCAAGTGGAAGTAATATTTAAGGTATTCACTGTGTCTGTATATTTTCTATAACCAAGGGTGATTAATAAAACATTTATGATATCAAATGTGCATACCACGTGTACATATGCATATAGGAACTACTTGCAGAAGTAACTGTTTTACTCGGAACTTTATAACCGACTGACAATGAAAACAAGCAGCTGATTAAATTATCTGTGTTTTTTATCGTCAATTCAATAAATTTATGACATTTCAGTACATGTATATAGTAGGTTATTGTTGGAGTTAGTATTGCCATTATCGCTTGTTAATGGTCAGTCTTTATAAACAGCGAAAAACAGTACATTTGGTGATATAAAGCATCTATAATGACATCTAAACCTACATGTGTGATTGTGGCCAGTGCTGCATCTGCAGGTAAGACTCAAAACAGCCCGTCAAAAGAAAATGCATATTTACAGTAAGGTAATCAGATTTCTGAAATGGGAACCGGGGACATTTTCTATTTGAGTGGGTGGTCAAAATATAATTGAAGTCCCACTTTTTATTATCAGTGAATAACAAAAACAAAAAAAACCGGGGTCAGTACATTTTTGTATGTTTTTACATTGTTTATTTATTGTAGGTTCCATATACTGTTACTGTAATTAATAATTATGATGTTGTTTCTGAGTCAAACTGACCCTACATGTTTGTTCTTATTTCTATATTTCTATAACAAAAAAAGAAAAACAAATAGAAATGACAACATATGATAAATGAAACTATTACATTTTTTAGCATTTTCTAACTGTATTTAATATTTTCATTCCCCCCCCCCCGTATGGAATAATTACAACTTTATAATTTAACTTTTGAAATTCTATTTCAATTCAAATTGATTTGTATAGCGCTTTTCACAATACACAGTTTCAAAGCAGCTTTACAGAAAATGCATGCATTTAATTTATTTAATGTTTGTGCTTTTGGAAATGGATATTTGCTATCCCTAATTAATATAATTATGAAGCATTCTTTTAAAAACATATATAGGCTATGTGTATGTAAAATATGTAAATAAAATGTGTAAAAGTCATAATACATACAAATTAAACTTTACATTTTTCTAGTGTAATTAATGTTGCTTTTATATTTGTCTTTATTTCCTTTTTCATTTTGGCTCGAGAAAGATCTAATTTGTCTTTCCTTATTCTAAGTGCATTTATCCAATGATCAATTTAATCAAAAAGGCATAAAAAGTACCATGTGGATCATCAGATGGCATTGTACTTTGATCCATTTTTAAATTATAATTTGAACAATGATACTGTTTTGTTCCTAGACAGCACACATACGTCTGCAAGATGTCTGTTAAAGATCACTTCATCTGGAAAGCATCTGCTGTGTACAAACATCTGATAGATGTCTCTAAGATGTCAGTTTTACATTCATTCTAAATCATAAACATCTTAAAGACATCTTCTAAACGTCTATTTGACATCTGATAGGAAACGTCCTATAGACGTATTGCAGATGAGCAAACACTCTAAAAAATACGTCTTGCAGATATAAATGCAGACATCTCGTGATGTACGTGTGCTATCAGGATTAGTGTCTTCTGGTTATTTTCAATGCAATGCATTAAACTCCGTTCTGTTTTCCCGCAGGAGTTTCAGCGCGATCGTTCCATCAGTGTTTTAATTTGTGCAGTTCAGTGTATAACCTGGCGTGAGGAAACACACTGCAGCATCTACAAATCAGTGTTTATTCATCCATTAAAGACACAGAAAATGTGCTGAATGCATCAAATCTGTCTCTTTTTCTGTCTTAACAGGGGAAGCCCATCGACTTTGCCAGTGTGGATGACAGCACAGCCCGCTGGGTGCAAGAGTTCAGCATCAAACCCTACGCCAACCCGGCCAAGCTGGAGTCTGTCGATGGTCTGACATCTCTGCTTTCTTGAATCTAAGTGCATGGGTGTGTGATGTTTCAGGAGCCCGCTATCAGGCGCTGTTGATTCCCGACTGTCCGGGAGCCCTGAACGATCTCGTCCACAGAGAATCCTGTCCCACTTCACTTCTCAGCAAAGTGAGGGTCTCTCACAGCTCAGGGATTAACTCACTCAGTGTCAGATGGGTTTCTTTGATTCACGTCTGTGTGATTGTAGAGCCCGTGTGTGCTGTGGGACGGGGGGCTAGCTGCTCTCTGCTGCGCTACAGAGGAACAGAAGTGGATATTCAGTGGCTACAGCATGACCGGGGTGAGTGATAACGTCATATCAATCAACAAACTATGGAATAGCTTCAAAAAGCTGCTGTAATGTGATGTTTTTGACAGGCCTCTGTGTTCGAGCTGCTACGTTCTGCTGAATTTGCCAACCTGCCGCTGATTGTGGAGGATTTCGTCAAAGACAGCGGTGGATCTTACACAGGTGGGGTTCATTAAAGTCATTTCAAACCTGTTTGACAATCTGTGTTGGGGAGTAACTAGTTACATGTAATGGAATTACGTAATTTAATTACAAAGTAAATGTAACTATAATTTGTGTAAAATAAAGTGTAATTTAATTACAGTTACTTAGGAAAATGTTAAAGATTACAAAGAGGTTACATCTGAATATTTTCACACACTTACAGTTTTGATTGATTTCTTTCCCAAATTGCATTGATTACTTAAAGGGATCATATAATGCTACATGCACTTTTACAAGTTGTTTGAACTGAAATGTGTGTTGGCAGTGTGTGTACACAACCACCCTATAATGAAATTTTTTTTTTATCTGGTTAAATGTTTTCCCCTTTCTCAAATCGAGCCGATCTCAGATGCCTGTCTGAGTGACGTCACACAGACAGGCCCCTCCCACGATAGTTTGATTGACAGTAGCGTTTCAGCACAGACTGGACTGGTGTCTTACCTTAGCTCCGCCCTGAGTGACTGTCATCAGTCCGCCATTGTTTCACCGCCGGAGCAGATGTAGACAAGAAAGACTCCTAAGCGATTGAGGTCTTCTGTTGTTGGATGTAATAATGAACAGCAGTCGTCATTTACTCCCGACATCTGAGCCGCTGAAGACGCAGTGGATTACGTTTGTTTCTGAAGGGAATGCGCCCCCGATCTACATAAATGCATCTATGTTCGCTCGAATCATTCGTGATCCAGCCTCATCTACAGAAGAAGTGAGTATAATGTTTTGTAATGAATCTTTGCAAATTGCCTTTCCTAATAGTGTGCTAATTAGCAAGTTTCACGATGAATGCGGCTAAAGTAAACAGTCTCTCTGCGAGCAGCTGGAAGAGAGGGGCGGGGTCAGCAGAGCTCATTAACATTTAAAGGAAAATGCTACAAAAACGGCTTGATCTGAAAAGAGCTGTTTTTGACAGGGTAAAAAAAGATGTTTTTTACACTACCATTGAGAAATTTAACCAAACTATGTTACAGACTTTTCATTAAGACCCTAAAGAATCATATCAACTTGTGGAAAATGTGCATCCTATGACCCCTTTAAAATATGAGACACCAATATTTCAGGAGTTTAGGACATGCTTATTTGATAACTGTTTTATTTCCTATTTGGGTTTGTGTAACTATTAACTATTAAACTATATCTTATGATTTCAAATCTGTATTAAACCTCAGAATGATCTCAAAGTAAAAAGTGCTGCCGAAGTCTGATTTTGTGGTGGCTGTGCTTTACAATGAAATTATTATAATCTTAATTCAAGCGAAGAAGGATTTTGAAAGTCTGACAGTAATCAGTGTTGAGTACTGTTGTAATGCAATGATTGAAAACATTCGTTAGAAATTTAGAAAAGTAATCAAATGTAATCAGTTACATTACTTTAATAAAGTAATTGAAATAGTTACACTACTTATTTCATTTTAAATAGAGTAACTTGTAATCTGTAACCTATTACATTTCCAAAGTAACCTTCCCAACACCGTCCACTATATTGCTATATTTGGCATATATTGTCATATGTTTATCTATATAAAAGGAACAGCTCAAATTTCAGTTGTAATTAGTGCTGGGTATTGACACAAGTCTCACAATTGGATTTCAATTCACAAACTTGCGATTTTGATTTGATTCAATATTGATTCATTTAGATATATATCAGGCACAGTACATGTCAATTTTCCCCAAAACTCTGTATGCTGTAAAGGATACAGGGAACCCTGTCGGTTAGTATAACGCATTACTATAATATCAAAGGTTAAAATGAACAAGTATTTTGTATACAAACATTTAAATCACACCGAAGGCAGTTTTATAACATACGTTTTTAATTATGCATCTACTCTAATTCTTAAATTTTTTTGAAATATAAATATAAAACATGTTTTTATTATGGATTTATTCAAACATGCATTATGTGAACAGGCCTTAAGAATTTGAAAGCTGATAATTTGTTATATATCAAAAGTAACACATTCGTGTATTTTTGCGTGACCTTTGTATTTATGTGAAGCATTGTTTTTAGCTAAATAAAATTCATTCGTCACAGCGAGCATCAAGGTTCTGGACTGGCATCTTGTGACATTTTGTTGATGAGCATTGTTAATGTCTAAAGAAAATCATTTGGCTTTTTTCTCCATAAAGCATCGTTTTACAAAGGAAGAGAAGTGATCAGACTGGGATCATGGTCGTGAAGACCGGTGATGTGGAAGCTCTCCGGTCCCCTCCGTCTCAGCTGAAGCCACACCGGACACACGGACGTCAGCTTCGGACCAAACAACTTAGCAATGTCATATCCATGAGAGTTCCACTGAGAGATGAGATGGAAAGATGGATGAATAGACAGACAGACAGAGAGATAGAGAGATAGATACAGACAGACAGACGAACGGAACAATAGATAGATAGATAATCTCACAGAAGTGAGTACACCCCGCACATTTTTGTAAATATTTTATTATATCTTTTCATGTGACTACACTTAAGAAATGACACTTTGCTACAATGTAAAGTAGTGAGTGTACAGCTTGTATAACTGTGTAAATTTGCTGTCCCCTCAAAATAACTCAACACACAGCCATTTTTGTCTAAACCACTGGCCACAAAAGTGAGTACACCCCTAAGTGAAAATGTCCAAATTGGGCACAAAGTGTCAATATTTTGTGCGCCCACCATAATTTTCCAGCATTGCCTTAAACCTCTTGGGCATGGAGTTCACCAGAGCTTCACAGGTTGCCACTGGAGTCCTCTTCCACTCCTCCATGACGACATCACGGAGCTGGTGGATGTTAGAGACCTTAAGATGCTCAATAGGGTTTAGGTCTGGAGACATGCTTGGCCAATCCATCACCTTTACCCTCAGCTTCTTTAGCAAGGCAGTGGTC